AGGTAGAATCAATCCAGTGTGCATTAGACCTGCTGACCCTCCTCCAGTTATTCATATAAATGTTCTGCATGACCCTTCCTGCTTTCTGAAGCCACATAAGTATTCTACTCGGCTGCAGTCACATCTGTGTGCGGCACAGACAATCCTTCCTCGCTACCTCAGCGTCGGCGTATGATTCAGAATTTACACTAACGTTGTCACAGCGAATAAGATGGTGGATCTCACACCCCGAAATAACCCTAATCCTGATAGCAAGAGGTGAAAACTAAATTCAGAGGCAGCGATGGAGGGAGGACAGCAAGTTGCTATTGATCCACAGAAGCCTTGTTCAATGCGAGTCCAGATCTGTGGACACATGGCAGATATGACCACACCGCCCACTCAGGTTTCTGAGCCACTGTTTAGCTTTATTACAGTCAAAATCTGCCCCACCATCGGTCCCATTGGCCTCACTGGAAGTGTTGGAGAGGGTGGCAGTTACCATGGGTTACTAGAAATCTCACAGAAAATGCATACTGAGAAAGCATAATATAAACTTAAAGCTATTTCCATCGCCACTGTTATTCCATTAGCAGCATGGGCAAACCGTACATGACGCAGACCGAAACCTCTGAGAGCAGCTGTCAAAGCAGAGTCCAGCCGAGCTATCTGGTGCGATCAAGTCTCCGCTTGCTCTCTTGTATAATACTTTCCACTGGGAAATGCCAGCTTCCTGCCACGTGTGGCCCATGCGAGAAAAAGGAAGTGATTATCCACCCTGTGTCTTCCTCTACAAGTTGTCATCCGGCCTTTTTTTTTTTTTGCACCTTCTTAATGAGCAGTGATGACGAGCGATGAGGGACGACAGGACGAAACTTGTTGAAATTCGGGAGATTTCACCTCATGTTTTTACTCTTTATACCGGCGCCACCTGACAAGCCCTGCATCCTGTAGAGCAGCTACATGCTGTAGGGACACTTGAATATTTCAGTAACATTGGTTTGTTTTTCTCCAAGTCCCCAGTGAGGCAGGGAAATCTCCCAGCTTTTTCCAAAACCATTGACCCTGACCTCGGTGAGAGATGAGGAAGAGAGAGACATCACTTTAGCTGACTGGGGAATTGCCCTTATGGTCAAACAATAAATGTCAATATTTTCCCAGCATGTCATTTTAATTATCCTTATTCCTTTTTCACACTGCTGTGTTTTATTGCAGTTTCTCACAATATGAATCATAATCACAATAAAACATACTGAGGCAGATCTGTCCAAATCTCCCTCCCTCCTTCTGTTTATCACTTGAGGGAAATTATGTATCACCCAGCGGCTGCCATACTAAAGCCGGCTTCAGCAAACAGCAGCGCTGGAAGTTGTTGTGTTACAGGATTTTGGTCCAGAGGAAAATTGATTGCTCACCGCGCAATCACCGAGCAGCCCCAGTAAAATTGCACTGGCTGGGGCCGCACCTCAGTCACTTTACAGCCATCCACTCAAAATATGAATCACAGAGCAGAAAGTGTGTATAACACAGTGGACACACTTCTGCCATTCCTTTATGATCTGTCCAAATCTGAATTTTGACATACACTCAGACTCTTCCTGACTTTACACTAAAATCTCAATTAAAGGTGCCATATATAATATTCTGAAGCAATTTTAAATATTATTTTTATTCATTTACATTCGCACACTTAGTTATATTACTTACTTTACCATACTTTTTTTAATAGGTTTTTTCGCCGAACAACTAATTAATAACTTTTTATTGCCAATTAGCAAACGGTACGTAATGCAACAAAAAAAATTCCCAACTTTCTTGGTTGCCTGTGGAATGATATAAAGGGGTTTATATGCAGGGATGCGTATCTGATTGTCTGCAAAAATCCAAAGGATGTGACATTAATGTGCTTCCCCAAGTGCCTCCTGTCTCTACAATGTCAACAGTAGCCAACCTCAGCTTATAAATGGATTTTGCTAACGTCTACAAACGACCGGCATCCATTTTTTTTCCAACATTTCCTTTTTTCATAAATTTGTATCAGATTTTAT